TTCAGTTCAGAATAATTATCGTTAAGGAGGATCAAAGACCGGTAGAGGAAGAATATGGAGAAGATGGTAGGGTTTTATGGTCAATGTAAGAACAATAGTTATTTTCTCTAGGGATAAAAGTTATCAATAGAGAAAAACTAAGGTTAAAACTTAATAAAAGCAACTTGCACTTGCTTTTTATGAACCTATTGTTGAATTGTCACTTTTAATGAGCTCCACATTCACAAAACTATGGTTTAATATTAACCAAATAATTTGTTTTTGTACCGGTAATTTTTAAAAACAGAAGTTGTCACAAGTATAAACACATTCTAACTCTTTCTGTTTTTTTTTTTCGAAGCAAAAATCTTTTCATTATGTAGCCACCACTTTAAGGATGAGCTACAAAAATGATTGTCAATCCTATATAACTTTTTCCTCGTAAAAGTACCTAGTTTTTACAAAAAATCCATTAGAGGATAACACGGAGCAAAGCACCACACAAGAAAGATTGCATCATTTATTTTCTTTTGCCTTCTTATTCAGGAACAAAAAAAAACAAAAAATTTAACCATTAGAAGGTCCCCAAATCATATAGAGAGGACTTTGTTTTACAAGTACATTAGAGAACCATTCAAGTTCATTATCAGTTGTGAAAGTCTGAAATTCATTAAAAGGTTCCCTTAAAGATTTGAAAACTAAAAATCAGGCTAATTTGTTTTAAAAACTCATTTTCAACTATATTTGAACTTGGAAAAAACCTAAATATAAAACATATCTATAACCGCTAAAAACCAAAAAAATCTAAATACCTTATAAAACATATCTATAACCGCTAAAAACCCTAAAATTAGCTCCACAACCCACAATCAACCAAAAACTAATTTTTTTTGGGGCTTAGATCTACCATTTTAAATAAGTTTAAGGAATAAAAAAACATATTATATAAAAATTTCTCATAAAAAAAAATCTATTGATATCAAAACTCTTATTAAATAGTGGCAGGATAAACAATATTTTATTTGTTTTTTAAAGTATTTCTTAATTAGTTAATATTATGTTGTATTGTTATTATTACAGCCACATCATTATGCATGTTGTTGCCACGGCCATCTAATTATAATGATTAAATTATGTAAAATTATTTCTTTCACATATATTTTTATTTAATAATATATTACTATATTGTTAAATTATGCCAATTTTTTTATTTACAATTATTTGTTAAAAGAATAAAAAATCAATAAAAAGAAAATGGTAGCAAACGGTCTCTTGTAATGGAAATTATAATAATCAAAATAATTGAGGATTTACATGCTTATAATCACTACATTTTCTGCATGTCTTGGACTGTGCACTGTAGCCAAGAATAGAAGTTCAACGGAGGAAGAAAAGGAAGCAGCCTTTCTTGAAAATTGAAAACAAAAAATAATTATGTAGCAAGGGGCTCCTCCCTCTGTTCTTTTATTCTATTCTATTTGTTTATTTATTTATTTTTAATACTGGAGGAGATGTCATTGGGCAGAGCAGTCAACTCGAGAGAAGAAAAAAGAGGTGGAGAAGAATGGCACTGGTTCGACGCTATCAAGTCAAACCGACCATCACCGGTTATCCACCTAGAGGGGAGTGCCTTTTATATTTCTAAGTTATTATTATTATTATTACTATTAATCAACATAATAACTTTTACCTCTTAACTAATCACAGCCCACAAGACCGTTGTTTTAAAACCCTAATTGACCCGGTGATATAATTTCAGACTCCATTGGCTCAAAGTGTTAACCGGTTCGAGTTAAAAAAATCTTGAACAACCCGGTCGTCATTTTGGTGGAGGGACATCGGAGACCATTACTGGGAGGACAAAAGTGATAAGATCAAAAGTTTAAACATAAGATAAGCTCTAAAATTTGATTTTCCCTATATATTCATATATCCCGTCCCCAATCAATCAATAATATACCTGCGTGCGTACATGTGAAAGCCACAACCATTGTCTGGTTTCTCGGGCAGCATGTGAGCCGCTGTAATAAACAAACAACACGGCAGAGGGCTGCTACTCCTCGGCAGAAATGAAGGTTTCGACTTCACTGGTTAAGGATATCTACACTTGCAGGGGGGGGGGGGGGGTGTTCCTTCATCGCTGCTCCCCAGACATAATTAGACAAACTTCTCTTCGGAAGCAAAACTGCACTGATCATATAATGACTATACAATCGGATGGATCTAGTAAATTAATCCTAAATTTAGAAGAAAAACTTGGTCATTTTGATTAACTCGAGTCTGATTAAATCAAAACCCAACAATTAATTTATTAATTTTTGAAGAATTTTTTTTTTCAAATAATATTATATCCTTCAAAAAATTAAAAAATAAATTTTATTTTTCAGACCCCGTGATTCTTCCAACCCCGTATCAAGCCCGGGACAGGTTCTACATTGAATATGCACTGTATTGAATACGCAGTATTGATATTTTTAGGAGTTCGAGGAAGGCAGTGCCTTGACTGCAAATTTGTTTTGTAATGTGATAGAAAATGAGGATTAAACATGAGTATTTGGTATTGTACCGAGAAGCTGAAATTAATTATAATTAGGGTTAGGATTAGGATTAGGATTAGGATTAAAGCAGAGCATATGTCACTTCTACCAAGGATGGCAACCTCATGATTAGAGTCGACGACATTATCATCACCATTGTAGGGTTTTTTTTCGAACTATGTGTCTCATTAATTATTATTATTATTATTTCTTTTAATATATGAACTTGTATGAATTAAGATTAGCTTTTCTATTCGATTGATTCTAGGAATACACTCTATATTCAAATAAATTTATGAAGATTTAAACTTGAAAAATGAAAGAAAAACACATTTTAAACCCATGAGATGACTAGATTAATTGCCAAACTTAGGCCAAATTATAAAGCATTTTATCTGATATTTTTTTTAATTTTCATCCAAAACTATATAAACCTCTTTTGTTAGGATTTTATTAAGAAAATGATGAAAAAATCTATAATATCCTTTTAATTCCTCTTTTTTTCTTGCCTATATATGTGTGTGTAAAGAAATGTTGAAATCTTTTATTTTAGTTGAATATAATCATCAACAACAACCACCTAGAACCATCCAAACCAAATAAAAAAACCAAACCATATATAATGTTTTTTTAAATAAAAACCCACTCATCATTCAAAACACAAAATCAAATAAGGAGATGAACTGTTTTTCAATATAAGGTTTATTATTATTATTATTATTATTATTATTATTATGGCATACAAGCTTGGATACAAACTAAACTAGGAAGATTTTTATAAGGTTTTCTGTCAATTCAATTATCGAGGAGTAAATTAAAAAGGATCATAAAATCTAAGGTGCAAAATCAATGATTTTTTTTAAATTTTTTTATTGAAGGGAAATTAGTTTATCGTGAATTGGCACGATCGATGATGATGATTAATTAAAAAACACGAAGTCCCCACATGGACATGGAGTGTTCGCTTTCACATTAGCGCATGTGAAGAACACATGCTCCATCCATTTGTCTCCGTGCAATAATCAACACCACGGAGCAGGACACAGTGCCGTATGTATGTGTTTCAATCAGACCCTCCCTCCCTTGTTTAAAACAAAAACACAGATCGAGGATTGTTTGATTTGACGATGATCATATATTTAGAGCGCGAGAACTCCTTAACTTCAAACTAATCATTTTCTTTTTTTTATTTTAATTTATATAGAATGATAGTATAGAGATTTAATTTAATTTATATAGAATGATAGTATAGAGAGGCTATAGATAGGACTATAAAAGGACATTTGATGAAATGAATAATAAGAGTTTTTATTTGACTTTTTGATGTTTGATAAATAACGCATGACTTAAAATTAATAAGTCAAGAATTAAAAGGTTTAATTTTTTATTGGAGCAAGGTTTTAGCTTAGTTTTTTAATTTTTTTATTTAAACTTTAATAAAATCTATATATATATACTTATAATGAAAAAAAAACAACTTATAATAATTTGTAAAAACCAAATGAAATCTTTAATTAACTTACTGTAATATGTGATTTGTGAAAAAAAAATAATATTACGGCAGAGTAGTGGGTATTTTAGATGTATAACACAATTGATAAAAATTTTGAGAGAATAACACGTCAGAAAAGTATAAAAATTATTTCTTTCTTGATTTAATTAAGATGTATAAAAAACCAATCCAAAATTTTATGGCCAGAAAAGTATAAAAATCATTTCTTTCTTGATTTAATTAACATGTATAAAAAACCAATCCAAAATTTTATGAGAATCTAATAAACAGTAATTGAGATTTAAAATTTAATGGTTAGGAAGGAATGGCTTAGCAGGTACACAATAAAGTTCTATTTTCAACACATTTAGTCTATTAGAAAAATCTTGATTAGAAGATTTTAAACATGCATTAAAAGACTTTCAAACATGATTGTAATTTATTAAAAGTTCTATTTAGAGTTAATTTATAGTTAAATACAACATCATTTGAAATTATTATAAGATATAATTATAATTTTTTTAATGATATTTAACGTCTCGAAAATAATATCCCAGTATATCTTTGATAGTACATTTCTTTTCTCAATTTTTTTATTTTTATTTTTCACCAACCATATCGCTTTATCTTTTTTGTTTTTCTTCCTTGGTGGCCATTCTTTTAACCTTGTATAAAAAACAATATCTCAGAGGACATTTGTGTTAAAACTATATTAGTTTTCAGATATTTTTTTAGGCTCAGTTACCGTACCAAAACTTTGGGCAGATATTTTTTTCAGATCATAGTGTGGTCGGTGAATGTGAAATGGTGTGTGTGTGGTGATAATTGAGAGGTACGAAATTTTGAGTTTTTTGTAATTAATTAATTTTGTTAGAGTTGACGAAGCTCAGTCACATCCAAAGAAAAAAAGATAAAAAAAGTAAAGGCATTCACGTGTACAGGTCTGTTTGGGAGCACGATCCATGTGCTGAGGTGCGGGAGACCTCTTACAAGGTTTGTTTGTTTATTTAATTAATTTATGATAGATGAGAGAGAGAAAGAGCGAAGAAGGATGCTTGCTTCCCCTTCTATGCTCATCTCACGGATCTTGCCTCTCCACTCCTCTCCCCTCCTCTGATCCTCCTCCTCTTATTTTATCTCCTACCCATCCTTTAGTACTTGCTCTATATATACACACACACACAGACAAGGACGCCTGTAGAATAAACTAGAGAAGAGAGTACTGGTTCCTCCGTTGACGCCTCAAAACAAAGAGACCTGCATCTCCTCCTCCTCTGACGACACACACCTCTACGCACGCAAGGACCAGGTATCGGTTAATGGCTTCTTGGAAAAAAACCATTACATCCCCTTTCAGGAAGGCTTGTACTTTCTTCAACCAGCAGCAGCAGCCCGTCAGCAGGGACAAGAAGTCCCAGCCAGGTGCAGTTCCTGGCATTTTTCATTTCCCCGAGTGCTCTTTTGCCTGTCCGATTTGCTGCGTTTTAAACTACGATTCATCGAATTAAGAAAAAAAAAAAGAAACATTTAATGTTCTTCTAATTTTGAAATAAATTACATTTTGTTTGGTAAGTGTTTGTTTGGTAGGTAATTGCTTTTAGGTTGGAAATATGTTTTAGATATTTAGCATTAAAATGCGTCTCCAAACACAACCCTATTGATATTTAGCTTAATTATCCTGTAATTACTTGTTATTTATGTTTATAGCATCAATTGCAGGGGGAGAGAAAAGGGTGCTGGACCTTCATGGTGAAGTCATGGCATGTGGTTATGAAGATGTTCAAGTGATGTGGTCGATTCTTGACAAGTCCAAATCCGCCACCTGCGACATGACCACTTCTTGATCCCCTGGCTATGCATCATAGTACATGTTCATGCACGGATATGGTATACATGCATGCATACATGTCTGTAGATATCATCGCATCATGATAGGGAATGGGGAGTAGGCAGCTTTTTAGAATGCCCATAATTGTGTTAGGAATCGATGATGCTGGAGGTGGCGGGAGATCTCAGTATTATGTAATGGTGAATCCCTGTGATCAATGGAAATCACGGTGAGATTTAGTGGAAATCAATTTAGATCACTTTATTTTTATTTTATTTTCGTGTTTTGTTTTTGGATATATGATATAACGTATGATAGGCGCATGCATGCATGCATGTGACATCTCAAGTGGCTTCATGCCAAAGAGCCATGAGCCTTATCTGTTGTTGGATTGCGATATGGATGGATATGCTCTTCCTATTGGAAGAACAGATTGCGCCATGCCCCACTTCTTGATTTCGGACGTTGTTTGTACTCGTATTTTACCGTTTTCGTGTTTTGAAAGAATATAAATTTATTTAAAAATATAAATTCAAATCATGAGTCTCATTAAAAACAATTAATAAACACTTTTAACAGGAGGTTTTTAGAACCAACTTCCATTTAAAATTTAATTCATGAATATAAATAATTTTAAATATAAAATCTTATTAAAATATCTGAATTAAATTCAATTAAAAAAAATCAAAAACATGCTGTGAATGTATTTGGTGTCGAGTTCAAGCTATTTGCATTAGTATGCTATTATGAAAAACATTGATTTCCGGTGGTCTTCAAAACCCAACCGGCCGTGCTGGCTCCGGCGACAACACTATTAGCCATAGAGTTTTTATGAATCGACATTTTAGTGAAAATAGAGTTAAAAATGTGTTTGCATTGAAATAACAAAAAAAAAAAAAAATATATATAGATTATTTATTGTTCCATGGAGTTTATTCAGTAATAAAAGCTTATTCAAGTATATAATATTTTTCTTTTATTACAAACATATAAAGGAAACCTCAAGATATTTCTTCCAACTATGTGGTCGATATTAATTTTGGGTTCAAATAAATTTTTCTATCACCTTAGTTTATAAGATTAACCTGAAATAAATCAAGAGAGTTAACTTAAATTTTTGTAAAAAAAATTAAAATAATATTATTTTGTTTTAAAATAAAAAATTCAGATCAGGTTAAGTCATTTTTTTTTCTTTAACTCAGGTAAAGTCAATTTTTTTTTTCATTAGCTCTGACCGATCCTCAGGTTGCGAATCTAAAATTTATAACCATTCTTGATAACTTTTATTTCAAAATTAGAAGAAAATGTCATTTTCTGAAAAAAAAAATACAATTAGGAGAGAATTGATTCAAATATTCCTTAAGAAATTAAAATTGATGCTGCTTGTATAGGGTTTTTTTTTTTCTTCGATTTGCCTGTGGTAAATCATAGGTATTATTGGAAAAACATGTCCAAAATGGAGCTGGGTCTTGTGCGTTGGAATGCGGGCCGTAAGCATAGTCCATGTTCCTTGATAATATAGTTTTAAAATTCAACAAAGATTAACCTGAAATAAAGAGAGTTTTGTAAAAAAAATTAAAATAATATTATTTTTTTCTAAAATAAAAAAATCAGATCAGGTAAACTCAATTTCGTTTTTTATTTTTTCTTTAACTAATTCTGACCGATCCTCAGGTTGTCAATCTAAAATTTATAACCATTCATGATAGCTTTTATTTCAAAATTAGAAGAAAATGTCATTTTCTGACTAAAAATAATAGTCCATGTTCATACTCATGGTTACCAACCGGTTCCCTTTGGCGTTCGAAGTTCTTCGAGCTCCATAGGCTGCCGATGATGGAAACTAAAGCAGCAGTCCCTCACAGAGCTCAAGTTGAAATGTAATAATATACACAGCTTGTTGAGAGAATTGATATCCCAGTCTCTAATAGCAGTATTATTTGTTACATGCCCATCATAATGCCAAAGAATTCTTACAAGGAAATCTTTAAGCATCGCATGAGATACTTGACTCTTGACAAGCACATGCCTCTCCACTTCCAAGCCATCTGTTTGAGAGTTTTTGATTAATTCAAATACATAGAAAATGCAAAGGGCCGCATTCCCTTGTGTTGCCCCTCCAGGATTTACTGGCGCACAATAATGGCAAGTGTCATTCGCATACAGCTGAAGCTCCTGGCATTTGAAACAAGAAGCAAGTGGCAGCAACACAACCTATCTCATAGAACTGGGCTCCCAATTCTCTTGGCAATCAATACATATGCTCCCAGCTGATATTGTCAAATCATAGATCGAGCATTCCTCTCTTCCCGTGCTTCAAGGGCATCTACTTCCTCATTTGATAAGAGATCAACCATAGGCCCATACACATCCCAATCCTTTCTTTTCCTGAGGCGTACAAGAAAATCAACAAACACTCGTAAGCTTCCTGCCACTAAAATTTCATGATAATGGAATCTTCAATGCATACTGGACATGAATCACAATGAACGAAAATATATCATTTCAAAGATGGCGCATCGCAAAGAAAAAAAAAATATCTGCATAAGTCAAAGAAAGATTTATGGATAGAACAACACGCAGCTGGAGATGTCTGCGTAAACTATAGACAGGGAAATAAGCACTTGAGTGACCAGGGGGTAGAATATATAATGATGAAAGAAAATAAGGGTGACCCTCTTTTTCTTAAATATCCCTCCCCACATCACAACTTGATTTTAGATTACTGGTATCAAGCAATGATGGAACAGAGTCCTCCAGTTCTTAACAATAACAGGATCCATTTTTTCTCCTTTCCTTCTCTTTACCATTCTTGGGACAATATCAGCATGTTATTCTCAAGAACTACTGGGGGAAGCTTATGTGAAATTCAGTTTCAAAGAAAAGAAGAGGAACAACGAAGTTACAAAAGGTGTTCTATGAGGGGTATGAGAAAGGAGATACAAGGTATATGCTGCACTTAATTTATGAAAAAACATGCATTGAACATTATAATGATGCAGAGTAGGAAACTACAGTTATTAAAAACTTGTTCCCTTGCCTTGAAGCATTACAATTACTGCAAATTAACGTTACAATACAATATGTATATTCTTCAAGTCTCAGCAAACTTATAGTTTATTAATCTTGGTAGAAATAGAAACCACATACCGAACCACACTGTATTTGTTGTTGAACAACTTCATCAAATCCAATGAAGTACCACCTGCTTTACTATGAGCAATAGAGAGAGAGGGAGTCAGTGAGATTCAAGTTCTGACAATGTTTCACATTAAAATCATCTCAACATACACCCTCTTCCACAATGAAAAAAATGTTTAGTAACAAGAACAAGACTTGTGAAAGAAACCTTGCAGGAACATATTCGGCACCACGACGTCCCTTTTTACTCATTCTGATTTCTCTTGCAGCAGCTACACTTTGAACTGCAGTCTGGCACAACAAGTAGCATATAGATATGGTAAATCGAAATGCATCTAACTCTAACAAAAAAAAAAAGAAAAAAAAAGAAGGAAAAACATTAAGTATGGAGTAAAGGTTGTCACCTCATAAAGCTGTTCCCTAATAGCAAAGGCAACTGCAGGCTGCAAAGAATAAGGTAATGTTAGTCTCGAGGAATCAACATTTAGACGAATGAGATAGAAGGGGAAGTACTGATAATGGAGTAGTAGCCTTGCTTACTCCAACTTCAGGGTCTTGAATACCCAAATCGTCGCAAAAGGTTTTAGCGAAGTCTTCGGGATCACTGTCAAAGTTGTTCATGTCCTGAAATTGACAATCAGTAAAAGCATTAAAAGAAACAGATCCATAAAAACTGGTGAAGGAATATAGAGCATATGAACGAATACGAGTGAAACGAAGGTTCATTATTAGTAAGTGCTATCTTACCCACAAAAACTGATCCTTTATAAGAGTGTTATTCACGCGAAGATCGAGCTGAGATCGAAGAAACAAAGCAAAATCCTTCCATATTAAAGCAAGCAACCGAAATCAAACAGAACAGTAAGCGAACAATACTCGGTGCAAGAAAGAAAAACCTTAATAGGCACAATCTTGTCTCCAGTGTACAGCATATCTTGACCTTCATAGGATCGAAACTCGGCCAATTGTGTCTGATCCAAATAATAATAACAATAACAATAGAGATAAATTAAGGGTAATCTTAAATGCATGCTTCTGCTCTTATTAATTAATGGGGAAAGAAAAAAAAAGTGAAGAGGAGCTGGACAGGACCTGTATGGATTGAACAATGTGCATAATAAAAGGAGGAGGAAGCTTCAAGTCTTTGACAGTTCTTTTAGCGAAGATGGTAATCTCAGAGTCTGGATCCGTGGGATTCCATGTGAAGGCATCTTTGTAACGCTGCTCCTCTAATTCTATGTCCAGACGAATTGGCACCAAGTTCTCCCTTGTTGGCCTGATTTTTCCTCTCAGTTTCTAGTTATATCAAGAAATCTTGAAAGAAACCCTAAAGAAAAAGAAAAGGGAAAATAAAAAAAACTTACATCCTGAACTTGACAGGCCCTTTTGAAGACGATGAAGGCAGCGCTTTCATCTCTCTTCTACAGTTTGAGTTTGAAGTCCGCAATCAAAGCAACAAAGCAAAACAGCCTTGTGAGCTGTACTGTAAACCCCCAGATCAACAAGACAGAAAGTACTCCTGTCTTGTTTATGTTACTTTTAATAATAACTTGGGCCAACCTCAAATCTAGCTCTAGAACTATTTGAGGAGCATCACTATATTTATTTTCAATTTTACCCTCAAATCAATTAGAACTCTCGTTATAATCCTTTAATAGAAAAAACTATAGATTTATTATAAAATAACATTTCTTCTTATGTAAAAAAATATAATTTAGACTAAAATATAGATGAAATGCCTCGAAAAGGGATGTAAGTGCTTAATTGAAAATTTTCAGACGTAGAAAATAACTCTGATTTTTAGAAAAGGATTATTACTAAACATAAAATCCTTTTTTTTTTTTATGTTATTGATCATGAAGAAAATAATTACAATATCATGTTAACTTTTAATAAACTATAATAATAACTTCTGTGCCATCGTTTCAGTTTTCTAGTTCTATTATGATTATAATTATCTTTAAATTCATTATTTGATAGGCCCTCAGGTAAAGTCCGAATCAAGTACCCAACTAAACTAAGAGGAGAGCTTTTCTCTACAGTGTCATCTTATTTTCCTTTCAATGCTGAAAAATCATAAAATATTTTCCCAACGAATTATCAAACCTTTATTTAAAAAAAATCCAATAAAATT